CCTCCTGCTGCCATTTCCTCTAAAAGTGAAACCTCATTATTGTACCAAGTAGAGCAGCTTATTCAATATACCCAAAAACACTGGCTGATTGAAAACTGAAAGTAGGAGAAAAACAGCTCCCACACACGGAAATACACAGCAGGTTATGAGGAAAAGGAATTCCCTGCATTCATTAAATCATCCGTAGGATCACTGCCTACAAAGCATGACAGTGATTTGACACAAGCTAGACGTTTGTATATATCGTGTTGCTCTTCGAATGGCGTCTCATTATTCATTGATGCAAATCAACCCCTACCCGACCAAGAAAATTACATGAAAATCAGACTCTTACAGTACAACACTGTTTGGATAATTAATTACAGTAATAGAGGACAATAACTATAATTGATACATGGCTTAGTTGAATACTCAATTATGATTGATACATTATTTTCCATAGCATACCATTTCTAAGGATGCTCTGATCAAGGGACCATATGCATTCACATCAATCCGAAGAAGGAAGACCAGTCAATTTAAGGTTGTCCCTTTGGAACATACATTTCTATATTTGTAAGGAGCACTAAACTTGTGATTCATAATTACTAAATTGTCACTGGAAAAGAAAATATAAAGAGATCAAGAACAAGAAAACAGGGCAAGAGAAGGGAAGAGGTTTAAGACACAGAGAGCTGGACGAAAAAAGACAAGGGAAGACAAACAGGAAGTGAACACTGAAGGGAACACGGTACCGGCCCTGGCAGAGTTATAAGAGTATACAGTTAAATTGTTGATCAAATGCAAACTATATGTGGCTACTTTTAAGCATGCATAGAGTACAAAACATTGTTTTATTTATTTTTAAATAATACTTCAAATAATTGTACTTTAATGTAAGTATTCATTTTTCATTCATGCCCTCTTTTATCTTGGCAAAAATAACTAGTCTCTGTGGACTCTGTATACTATGATTTATATAATATAGCTGTATGAGCTCTGTGATTCTGCGGAAGAAAACAAATATATAAAGGATTTCAGCAGCTCAACAGAATAATAAAAAGGCAGTAAATGAAGTAAGGTACGTAGTGGGCCGTTGAGCTGTTGGTTTCATGATTAGTTTTCTTGGTAAAAGGTTTGTTCTCTGTGACAAATATAACTTTCACCCAAATCACATTTTTCATGACTTGATTTCTGTATAATTTTGGAGAACAAATCTGAGAATAATCTCAAGGTAATTTCAGATCTGAATATCACAAATTAAACCTCCATCAATATTTACATGGTGTATGTTTCATGTTATGCAATATGATCAAAGGGTTACCATTTAGATGTAATTAAAGCAATAGGAGAAGCAAACACAATTGAAGTCATATCTCAACATATATCACTGTGTAAACAGATTAAAAAAGAAAATAATACTAATGATTTTCCTACAAAATTTCTAAAACTAGAGTTTTGTGGAGTTTTCAGGCTTGACCTCGATTTCTATTGATCTGTTTTTTATAGCTACGAGAGAATAGATCACAGATTAATGATAGTCGTATCCATATATACATTTAAGTGCTTCAGTGTTTTTAAATGCTGCACAATTAAAACTGAGGATGAGACTGGACCTCACGTTCCAGATACATAAACTGAAAATTCATCACTGAAGCTGAGTTTGATAAAGATAGAAATCTACATATGCCTTTGCCAGTGTAATAAAGCCAGTTCAGGTTAAATGATCTCTGTCATTAAAGGTTTTTGAAAGTACACAAATCAAATGTATGAATATATATGTTCATACATATATTACCTACTGTACACATGAGTATGCAAAGACACTCACATTTAGTAAAACTATAATTAGACCTCCTGAAAAGTGGTGTTTTTCATTGTATTGTTGGTTCTACAGGCTTTCCATACAGTCATCCATCATGGCAGCAGGAGGCTTTACTTTTTTCAAAGAGGCTGCAAAAACAAACTTGAGTGATGGACAGCAGCAGTACTGTAGCTGAAGGGTTGTTTAGTCTGAGGAAGTGACCTCTGCACTACCTGACATACGTGAGGAGGACCAGTCAAACAACCAGTCACCACAATCTACAAACCATTGATCTGGCTTGTCTATCATTACGTACTCTACTGTATAAAATACTTACAGCAGAGTGAATGCACTGAACTGACAAAGTGAGGCCTCCTTAATCCCAGAGTAATCATGGTTTTATATAATCTCAGTCACCAAAGTAACACTGCTACTGCTTCTAATTTATATGGGTGCTTCTTTTTGTCTATACTTTTTTGACTTCATGCCAGCCGTGGTCGCGGCCATTTTGTTTTTGGGTTGTCTATGCGTCTCTCCCATTCTCCTGAATGCAATATCTCAGGGATACCGATAGGAAATTACTTCAAAATTGGCAAAAGTGTTTACTGGGACAAAAAGCATGAAGTGATTATGATTTGGGGGTCACTGTGACTTTAAAAAACATGCATACTTTAAGAATGAATGCGCTTATTGTGACAGTTTCACAAATCTTTTCGGATTCACATGGATATAAACTGTTGGCATAGGCAAACGATAAAAAGGTTTTAATTCTTCTTTAAATTTAGTTGAAAATATATTTATCTGGATTTCAATTTGATAATTTTAGAAAAAACAACTTTTATTAAATGTATACCATTAAAACATAACAGTAAAACAAAAATAAATCAAAAATAAGATCATTTTAAGATAAGAGAAAAGTACTTGATTTAGACCATAACATTAAATTGTGAAATCTAGAAACTTCCTGCCGTCCATCATCTTATACCTCGACGATGCGATGCTGGGCTCTGAGCACCAATGATTGTGTAAATTGGCCATGTTACATTTTATAAAACATGACATAAATCTCATTGAATAAACGTTTTATATCCTGCAATCTGGTCCGCTGTGATCGAGGTAAGGGCCATTCATCATTTTCGCCAGATTGCTCACAAGAATGGAAGTCATATTTCCCAGTGAGCACTTAAGTGTGATTCATTACAACAAGTGCACATATGTGTGTGTGCCTGTGTGTGTGCGTGTGCGTGTGCGTGTGCGTGTGCGTGTGCGTGCGTGTGTGTGTGTGATGATATGTGCCTGCCGCCTGTCTCAGTACTCAGAGATGCCTCTTGTGGAGAAAGTGAAGTCTTTATTTTTCATGAGCACTTTCAGTATGTAAGTGAATTATTCATGTCATTCATCTTTGGGGGGGGAACAAAAAACATTAAGACTTCATTCAGCAGTACGTTGATGGACAAAGGCGAGACATAACTCCTCTAACTGGCAACCCACAGAAATGGCAATTAATGACATTACGATCAGATATATGACTTAATGAAGTCCCTTTCAGACAGGAACATTGATCTGTTAAAGTACTTAATGTGTGAAAAAAGAGATCTAAAAGCCCTGTTTCGGACACAATGCCAAAGAACAGGAGCGAGGGTAAAGGATTGCTATCAAGATAAAAGAGCGTTCACACTGGCGGCCTTAGAGATGAAAAATAACACATTGCTGTTACGATGAAGCACATCTCTGCTTCATTAACTTCATTAGAAGTGTCCTTCCTGATCACTTTTCTCATAAATCTCGTAACTTAATCAATGTGCATGTTTAACATCATACATAGTAACCAAGACGCTAACGTTAGGCCAACACTATAGAGTGTTGATGGATGCTGCACAGTAAATGGATGCCAAAAAAGGAAGTTGAAAATGAATGCTTTGAAAATATGCTTACTTGTCTGGTTCACACTAAGATTATTACTCTAGTTAAAATGGTGTTGTTCACAGTGTTTTAAAGTTAAACATACATTTTCAAGACTTATGTATACTACTTAGAAATACAATGCACTACTTTATGCATACCTTCCAAAGCATAAAAGAATAAGGAAAAGCCAGTCGGGTTGATATGGCCCATGATCACATTTACTAACCTTTACCAACCTGGACAAAGACAAGGAATATTCTAAGAAATATATGCGAAACGTATTCAAAAGACACGCATTAAAAGGGCGACTACATATATTTAGTGTTACACTATCCTAAAGTTGGGGAACCCACGAGAAACACATTTAAAAAGACTGGTCAAACTCCAAGCAGCAGATCCTGCGTGATCCTTCCCATAATTCATCAAAAAATATATTAACGCCTGCCTGGTCGACACCCATTCTTGTATACTTTATATTCTAATTGTATTGTTGCATAACCCTGATGCCACATGTTATCTAGTTGTTATCTAGTTTTTCTTTATCCTACATATATAAAATAAATTAAAGGTTTTCTGACTGATTTTCAAACATTTCTGTACACATTTCCAGAGAGAAATGCAAATCTCAAAGGGGATGCGTTAGCCAGCTTGCTTTATAAAGTAGCAAGAGGTGTATGTTTGTAATTTCTCTGTCAATATTGCATACGGCATGCCTTGCATTGATGAAAAGGGTTTTAAAGGCCATTGATGATGCAAGGCTGTCTCAACCTTATATCACTCTCAATTATTAGTTTAGGGACACACAACCCTGTTGCTGTTTCCCCCATGAATACAATTAAAGCCGGGGAGCAAGCACCTGAGAATATTCAAAACAAAAAGAAAGTTTTACCTTTGACAATCGGCGTTATCTTCTAAATACTTTTTACTTGTCAAATCGGAAAACTTCATAGTGTTTTAGAAAAAGTAATTACTTGCAGAAGTGTATCCAGGTCAGGCAGCTTTTTATTTAGGATGTTGTGATGCACCAGGCTGGCATTCTGTTACCCTTCATTTAATTTGTTTGGATGCTCTCATGCATAAAACACATAATGGAAGGAGGAATACAAAACATATTGCAGACACTCAGCCACTCCCCAGCAAAGTAAAAAGACTATCTGTAAAAAATACTTACTTATAGTGAAAAACTGTGTGAATTAGTGTGAATAAAAGTAAATAATGAGAACAGCTGAAGGCTCAGGATATTGGGAATAATAAATAAATATGAACATATTTAAAGTGAGAGTCGTCAGTGGAGATCTTATGACATGGTTACCTGAGTGTGGTGTGGAGCCTCCTCGACTATGGAGGGGCGGAGCCTGAAAGGCGTAGATAACGTCGCTATCGGCAATTACTGTCATGTCATCATCATCTGAAAAGGATCGTTGGAAACCTGTAGAGTACAACTCTGATAGGATGACCTGGAGAGAGACAGAAAGAACGACAGACAGTGTTAACATTTGTTCCTTAATTGATCCTCACAGAGCTGAACCAGATATTGGGTTCTGTTTGTTGAAAACTACAAGGGAATACAAATTATAACGAAACATAAGTTTAAAATGTAACATATTTAAAATAAATGTTATTGACTAAATGTTGCTACTCAGAAATATATTACAAAAAGCAGCTTGTAAAAGACGAAAATAAATGTCTCAAACAAGCACAAAACTTGAGATCAAAACGTGGCCATTGAAATACAAGATACAATTTGAAACATCTACAATGGGAATTATGTTACGTTTCTTTTTAGTCTTTGAAAATATATTTTCCTAGTTTTATGTTTAGGTGAAAAATCTAAAACATTGTATTCATTGCTCGTACGTTTTTGTGCAGACTGACACCATTTTTTAAATGTATTTAACAATTTGAGTTTCAAAACACTCATTTGTGATTAACTTGACTAACTTCCTGGTTTATATCTGTTATTAAAGACACCTTCCCCTAAGGTACCCACACAGAGGAACATTGATGCATCAACACTGACAAAGTGACAAAAAGAAGAATTTAACTTCCAAGCAAATTCAGAGCAGACACTGAGAGCCAGAGGGCGACACACAGAGCAGCACTCATCTCATACCTTTCTCAGCCTCAAATATAATTACACCATGACAGTTACTTTACAGTGTATTTCAAAATAGATTCAACATAAATGTTTGTGTGGTTATTAACAATGAATAGAGGAACAATGCACTTATAAACCATGAACATGGATTCTTTGCATCCATTTCACTCTCCTGCTGCTGTAGAAACAGGTTTATAAACCCCCCAAAAAAATCCATCATCTGTTGTAGGTGAAAGATTTATGAACATACGCCTCTGAAACCTTTTCCTCTACCCTTTATCTTCTTGGTGACATTTCAGCTTACTGTGTGCATGCACTCAAGTGTTACCCTTCTAGGAAATAGAATGTAAGTTCTAGGGAAAAGTTAACAATATTTATTGTCAAGAAAAACTGCACTCTATGACTTCCCGCCTAGCAATGGAGACATAAAGCCATCTACTGTCATCACATGTTGTTATGTGGTTTATCCTTCGTGCGTGCGTGCGTGCGTGCGTGCGTGCGTGCGTGCTACCTGGTCTGGGGAGATGTTGCCCTCCTGGGCCACCATTGATCTGAGGCAGGATAGGGAACCAAAGAGAGGTACAGCCAGCCCCACCCGCAGGTATCTCTGACCCTTCGTACTGAACACCAGCGTCACACACATCGACCTGTGGGGGCGAAAGGAGAGGGATTAAGGTAGTGTGTGTGTATGTGTGTGTATGTGTGTGTGTGTGTGTGTGTGGGAGGAGTAGGATGACAGAGAGAGGAAGATAGATGATATGTAAAGTGCCAAATTGTTTTGCAATTTTGATTTTGCATGTTTACAATATTACTGATTCCAAACACAACCTGCAATACTGAGTTATTTACTTATTTGGACACACACACACACACACACACACACACACACACACACACACACACACACACACACACACACACACACACACACACACACACACACACACACACACACACACACACACACACACACACACACACACACACACACACACACACACACACACACACACACACACACACACACACACACACACACTAAAATAATACGCTTGTGCAATTGTGCAGAATTTAAGGACACCGGGGAAGAAAACTGTGCTGTCAGTTTGTTCAAACGAGTCTTGATGTATTTCAGCTACTAAACAGCAAAACAAAACATTTAATAAATGAGACTTTGAAATGCCTTGCTGAGCTGTAACATATTTCCTCTGACAATACTCTTGTACAAAGTCTCATTTCATGAGCATAAACAATTCAATTTGTCCGTGTCTGACTTAATATCTGGAGTGAATTAACTATTTTCAGATCTTGTCCTTTAGTGTTTCCTTTTCCTGTGTGTGTTTGTAAATGTATGCAAGAGTGGACATGTTGATCTACACCAGCAGATCAGAGGTGGTCCCGCAGGAAGCAGCTGTGACATGTCTGTCTCACAGAAATCTGAACAGCTCCTGTAAGGGACGCAGGGATGATGGATGGGAGGATGAGATAATATATTGTGTCATGATGAAAAGAAGGGGAGACAGAGTAAGGTCACGCCTTCACATTTGGGAAAAAGACGGTATAATTGCCGACATCTCCACTTCCTGTTCCCATCATGCATTATTCAGGTAAGTAGTGTGTTAGCAGTGGGGGGGGGGGGGGCTGACAGGGCAGACGGTGGAGGATCTGAGCAGATGTTTTGTTTACGTTGTTAGATGTTTCGAGATGAGACACCGAGGCGTGCAATAAAATGGGATGAGAGGTGTGGGATGGCACTCGAAATAGAGATGTTATTTTATGAAGTAGTTTTTGCAACAGTAGCACCCTGCTGGATTAGAGCGAGATAAACTCAGGTAAACAGCAACCTCACATATGTTTCCACCTGCAGCACCGAGAGTGCACTAGGCTTTTCAAGTTCAAAACATTCAGAAATGTTTTTAAAAACGTTGAGCCGGTATCATATTCACATTGTTTACAGATGTATCAACCACAGAAATATTTTTGCATGATTTACATGAATTACAACACATCATGTTTACTTCACATTTCTGCCAGCTGCTTTCCTGAGATTTCAGTTTTGTTGCTATGTTTTTCGGCTTTACAGGAATCCATTTGTTCCAGTAGATATCGTAAGCATGAACAAGTATACGGCAGTAAAATACAATTTGAAATATTTTAACTAGTGCAATATTTTACAATGATTGTCTTCATGTTGTGGTAGTAGGGGGAGCTGATTTGAATAACTGTGTTCAGGTGTCCGTGAAAAACTACAAGACTTGGAATAATTAGATGGTGTTCTTTTTTTTGAAAATCAAACTATCAGCGAACATTAGCGTCATAAAAGTGTTTTCTTTCTTGTAGTAAAACACTTTGCAGTTAGGACATTCAAATCTGGCATAATTACAACAAAATGTGATCTTAGAAATGATTACTCCCACAATTTAGCATAACACTGTCTGACTCTCATTAATCTTCTTGTCAAAACCTGCCATCTATATGACTTACAATAAAACTTGACTCTTCCAAAAAATATGTTTGTTAAGAATTATGCTAAGACTGACTGTGCAAGGTTAGATGAGCAAGAAAAACACTCAGAAATACAGCCGTCCTGCTTTTCTCTCTGCCACACCGCCATTATCTGCAGCGCCCAGACCTCAGAGCCCAGTTGCCAGCCAGAGCCTGCTGGGTCTCTGGGGGCCGCACACTTATCAGGCATTCTGCTGGGATACTGCTGCAGCAGTGAGGCCACTGTGCGTGTCTGTGTGTATGTGTGGTGGGTTGTATTGTGCGTGTGTGTGTGGGTCAGGTCAGTGTGGGGGGCCAGCAGTGAGTCTAAACTGAACTTGAATGAATTTCCCTCTGTGCTGGGCTCAGGCAGAAACAGACCACACACTGTCAGAGAACTCGCGCTGTTAAACTGAGGGTTAGCACGGTGCAGAGAGGATGCAGAGAGGATGCAGAGAGGATGCAGAGCAGCAGTGTCTGCATGTGTGAAGATAGAAGGATTCACTGGATGTAGGCAAAATGTAAAAACGCGTGAGTAAAATGAAATGGATATTTGTTGTTTTTCTCTCTTTTTAAGATATCTTATGCCTGCCTGGACACATGGGCAGAGAGTGAAAGGGGATACGATAAGCCAAGGCCTACTATGTTGAGGTTACCCGCTAAGCACAAAGGTAACCTGATGGTTTTGGTTTTCCATATTGGGGACAACGCAGAAACAATCTCACATAAATGAAAAAGCTGTCTTGCTTGATATCATGGTAGCAAGAGAAGAGAGGGCCTTTTTTTTTTTTTTTACAAATGATCATCAAAGAAACACCTTAATACAAATACAAATACAAACCTTTGTTTAATTGTTTGTTATTCTTTTGAAGGATTTAAAAAAAAAAAAAGAGATCTGTGTCCCATCTTTGATACATTTTTTTGACGTGATTCCAGTTTGTTTTGATGCCAGTTTAAGAGCAGTTCAAGCATATTTACTAATGATTATCAGTATGATTTTGTAATAAACAATTGTTTTGTCCAGGATAACCGTGACATGAAATCCCATATTGTCCCATGCAGAGCCACGAAGTCTTACATTTATCATTCTCTCTCTCTCTATATTTCCATCTCTATTGTCAATGGTGAACAGGAGGCCTGTGTTTATTCCCTCCTCTTCCCTTCCCTCTCTCTGTGTTTCTTTCTTTATATGTCAAAGGCGTACTCCCTTACAGCTGGACCTTGCTGACATGCAGCTTCTGGTACGGTTCAAAATGGGAACACAGAAAGTGTTTGGTAGGGGACTTTTGATGGGCAACATTTATCACTCTGATATGACCATGGCCAGCAGCTGTTGGTGTGTAAATCATATTTGTGTAAATTCCATTACATTACAGTGCATTTAGCTGACGCTTTTATCCAAAGCGACTTACAATAAGTGCATTCGACCAAGAAGATACAAACTTGAAGAAAACAGAATCATATAAGTACATCAGGTTTCATAGAGCTAAAACATTTCAAGTGCTACTCAACTGGCTTGAGTAGCACTTGAAAGCAGCATGATACGCAAGTACCATTGTCTTGAAGTGGATTCTAGCAGTTACTGGAAGCCAGTGAAGTGAGCGGAGGAGCAGCGTGGTGTGGGAACATTTTGGAAGGTTGAAGACCAGACGAGCCGCTGCATTCTGGATGAGCTGCAGAGGTCGGATGGCACATGCAGGTAGACCAGCCAGGAGGGAGTCCTGATGTTGTAAATGTGTGTCTACGCATATTTGTCCAATTTCCTTTTTTAATGTATGACCTTACAGAGCATCTATTATGATACATGTCCTTTTCTATTTCTTCATTAAATTACCCTTAAAGGTGGGGTAGGTAATTTTGGAGAAACCAGCTCGAGTGCGCTAGAATTTGAAAATACACAACCGGAAAAAATCTGCCACTTCCTTACAGAGCCCCTCCTCCAACACACACGAACACGCACATGACCAATGAGGGCACAAGATAAGTTTGTGCACAGATGGAAAGCTGACAGGCAGGTAGGCCATCCAGTTACTTTAGCCGGGCTGGCTAAAATGATTGGTCGTGCTTTTTACAGTACTACGGCTTCCACAGATGACAATTTTTATGTATTTATTGTCAAAGCACTTAAGATATTCATTGCTATCGGGATGTTAAGAGCATTCCATGGAATATAACAAAAAGTGTTTCTGAAATAAATTACATACCCCACCTTTAAGTTACTCCTCGTAACAATTACCAAAAAACTTTTATTTTTTAAATAACAAATGAATACACTAACACGGGCTGAGTAATGGATAATGATTCATTGCAGAATCATTATGACTTTAGCACAGTTCAGAAAAACATGCCAGGACATAATTAAATTATATTCTCTTGGTTCTTTCTTATTGTCGTGTAAGTTATACATTACCTGGTTTGTCGCAGTGTGATAGGCAGGGAGATACATAAAAATGGGTCGAAGGTGTTGCTCTGCTTAAGGCAATGAGGGCACGTCAAAGAAGACCTGGAGACAAACAGAGAGACAGAAAGCATTATGCATACAAAGAAATATTGCAAAATAAATGTCACAACCTGTTTTACTGTGCTTCATTCAATTATTGGTCCTCATCAAAGAGCCACATCGTCACATTTCTTCTTAAGGGAGGATTAAATGTGCAGTAAAGAATGACTTTTTATGTGACGCATGCAGTTAAAACCCCCATAGTGATGAAATGTGAATATTCCATGTGGACAGTGGTGAATTTAAAGAACTGGATCAGGCCATCTGGACTCTATCGGCTGTTAAGAAGGAAACCAACAGAGGTGGCAGCAGTTCAGAATTTAGTACGAAAAACACTTTTAGGAAGGTGAGATATTGCCGTCATTGGAAAAAGCTGTACAAAAATACATACTGAGTTAGGGAGAAGAAGAGGAATATTGTGGCAAGAGAAGAGAGGAAAGGAAAAAGGATGAAAGGTTGAAAGGATATTAAAGGCAGAGGGGATATTTAAGAGAAAGTGTTGAGCTGAACGATGATAAAATGAAGGGCAGCAGACACAGCGGAGGTTGATAGGCAGAGGAAACAAAAGTAAAGAGCAAGGAGACAGAGATGAAAAGGAATACAACAAAGTGCAAGGACTGTCGAGTTGACAAAAACTAGAGAGCAAAGCAAGAAGAAAGACACAGGCAGGACCCGTCAAGGTCTTTGAGACAACGGCATGGAGCTAGTCAGAGTGGAGGAATGACATGAGGCTGGAAAATCTCAACCTGTGGGCTACTATCAAAAAGAATTGCACGTTTAAAAAAATACATAATAGTACTGAGCCACCTTAAAATGATCTAGAGAAAATAACTGTTAAAAGGATTTTAATTCGTGAGCTTTTGATGGATGGTAGTATTGGTAGGATTGCTAGTATGTGGATTTGTTACCTCTGAGCCAGATTAGCTATTTCACAGAATGTCTAGTCTGTATTGCCCCCCAAAGCTTTTTGGCTGCTGAGTTTATATTTAATGAGTAAAAATAAGAGTGGTATAAATCTTTTAAACTGACTCTTGGAAAGGAAGTGAACGACGATGATTCCTAAAATTATAACTATCAATTTAAAGACATAAACAGCACAACCCAATGCTAAAGCTAATCTATGTCGCTCTCTTTGTTCTTTTGTGTTATCTTTGATTAACACCATGTGTTCGAATCAGCCTGTCCTCCTCCAAAAAACGACCAAATAGGTTGATTGTTCAGCAGCTTATTACGACCTATAGTCCCGTTTTAAAGTTTAGCACCTCTAGTGGTCGTGTAAGAAACAACAATTTGTAGCAATTGCAAACGCTCCGGAGGGTCGTATATTCACAAATAACCCTCTCTGGAAAATCCTAAATTGTAGAATAGTTTGGCCATTAAAATGCTTTTTGATTAGATTTCTAGCGAGAAGTGTATATTGTACTTTTAGAATCCAGGTCCAGTGGATGTGTAGGATCTATAGTTTGATAGATATTATGAAAATTATTTGAGGTCTCGCCAGGAGAACGTGTATATACTACGTCTTTCCCCTATTCATTTCCATTGACGGCAGCATCCATGTAAAGTTGGCGTCAACCCTCACGGGGTGAAAACAGTATTTCCGGTCTCTAAGTTTTCATAATAAAACCGGAAGTATTCCCCCCACTGTCAAATTAATTTACAGTGATATCTGCCGTACTCATCCATCAGATTATCCTTGTTAATTACACAACATTGATTGGTTTAAATTGTGTACAATGCTTTTGTGTTTTTAACCTTCGATTCGGAGAAACAAATAGTTTTTTGGGAGTTTAGGATGGCCGAAGACACTACACTACCCATAATCCTCAGCTATCGTTTGGGACTACAACATCCGCTTTGCTTGACAAACCGCGTGATTAGTCCTCAAGCTCTGTGATTGGAAGTTGGAGTGGCAGTGCGCCAAGGTTACGCCGAGCTTCAAACAAACTACAAGTCCCTTTCTATCAGCTGTGCACCGGTATGGTGTAAATATAACCTATCTATCAATTGGATCAAATATAAAAGTCAGCCAAATTAATATTGATACTGCAAGGAGACGTATTGTGTGAAGACGTATTGTCAAAAGGTCTTCTAATCAAGGCTCTATAAATAGAGAACTACGGCAGATGTGTAATATTTAATGCAGCCGGACCGTGTATTACAATGCCGTTATGTGATGACTTTCAAAGAGAAAAGCAAGAACACTCGGAATAAAGTATTTTTTTTTTCTTTTTTAAATGTTTTCGGATTTCACATCGCATAAACACCATATCCCAACGTGCATTGGCGGCTAAAACATCCAATCACCGAGCTTCAACGATAGTTGAGGATTATGGGTAGTTCAATGTTTTAGCCTATCAAAAAAAGAAATGTGTCTCTCAGAATCGAAAGGGAAAAACCTATGGGAAAAACACAAAAGCAGTGGACACAATTTAAACCAATTAATGTTGTGTAATTAAAAAGGATACACTGATGTGTTTTAGTGGATGAGTACTGCAGATATCACTGTTAAATCATTTGTCAGAGAGGGGAATACGGTTGTATTATGAAAACTTTGAGACCGGAAATACTGTTTTCACCCGGTGAGGGTTGACGCTAACTTTACATAGGGGGAAAGACATACACGTTCTCCTGGCGAGACCTCAAATAATCTTCGTAATACCTATCAAACTATTTGATAGACATTACTGGAAAAGCATGTCATGGGAAGTAAATACAACACAATTCAGCTCTGGCTACAAATCCACAGTGAGTTTCCAGTTACACACATTCCTAATGTGAGTAATGCTTTTGCTTCTGTTTAACAAACCATGAGCAAACTAACCCTTACATATCCTGCTGTGTTTCCCTACAATGACTGAAATGTAGTCTTTTCATTTGGCATTCGATGAAAACAACACGTTCAGTTTGTTCTAGCACCACATGATCCTCTCATGCAGGTAACACAGTCACTTTTTTACTTGAAATCATTTATGCATTGGCTCGTGTTCTTCTGTGTATAGTTTGGACGATATTTCTTAAGGCAACTTGGAAATCATTAATGTTGAGTTCCCTATTTGTCTCCATTAGAGGGAAACCTATTATTCTTTATTGGATAATAAGCTTTACACAAGCTTGTAACTGCTGATGCAGCATTTTTATGTGGTCATTCTTGAGCTGTTATGTACGGTTATATAAAAAAGATTTATATTTGAAAGTAAGTGTGGATATAGCTGAATATGTGTTTTTAATGTCACCTTTGTTGCATCAAAACTGTGAAGCAGTTTCTTGAAACCTAAGATGATAATTATTTTTGGGGAAATGATTGCAATGTCGATGCTCTCTTAAAACTGAGTGCTTTTAAAGTGTGTTCACCTTCAAGTGTGTGTGTTCTGCCAGATGCTCAATTCGTTTTCTGATGTCTACCTATCAAAGTCTGCCAGTTGAGCTGTATCCAAGTTTGGGCCAACTCAAACATGTCAAATATGCTGGAAATAATATAACAATGTTCAAACTCCACATTTCCCCGCTGTCAGTGTTGTAACCATTGTGGCGTGGCAGCCAGTCACAGGCTCGCTAATGATGCCAGTTTGCATTCGGAAAAGTGGAGTGACGGGCTGTATTTACACACACAACAATGTGCACAGCCAAAACTCTGTAATAATTTAGCCTGAAATTCACACGTGAGTGCAAGAACATCCGCACGTACAGAAAAAAACTAAGCATCACTTAAAAAGCCTGTGTTGAAGCTGACAGTGTTTCCAGTCTGGTGGAGAATATGAGATAAGAATTCCCCCTGTGTGTGTGTGTGTGTGTGTGTGTGTGTGTGTGTGTGTGTGTGTGTGTGTGTGTGTGTGTGTGTGTGTGTGTGTGTGTGTGTGTGTGTGTGTGTGTGTGAAAGTTGTTGATAGACCGAAAGCAGGGCCCGTATTGTGTGTTCAATGTTCAGTTGTCAAACCCAAACACTGCAATCCTTTATTTTGGACCTGATACTTGGAGCAGTAACACATCCACCCACCAGCAGGCGAATGCACAACAGCAGCTGCTGCTCTTATTTATCATGAGAAAGTAGAGCTGCTCAGCATCCCTACAAACTGCTCTGAGCTAAATAAATAACACTCCACCAGCAGCATCTTAAACGCTATGCAGTATCACGATTCCTGAGTCCAGCATTTTGTATTAAGATATTTAGCACCATATAGGTCAGGATGTTGTTATATAATATGATATAAATGTTATACGATCTCTCAGTTTTGGTGTCAGGGGTGAGCTGACACTCACAGCCAACTTTTACATTGTTATTCCATATACTCTAGACATATACTGTAAATGTTACTCTTTTACTTTAGATTTTTATCAAATAACTGTTTTGTATTTGTATTAATTGTATGTTTTATTCAATACCTGCTGCTGCTTTGACAAAGTCATTTCCACATTTGGTATCATAAACTATCCATCTTGGATACGTTTAATACTCTGCTTGGTTTTCATGATGCGTTCCGATCTAAGATACACAGTAATAGGACAGATTAAGGTATTGGCTGTGTAGTGGTATACATGTCAGATCCTAAGTTTATCTGCTAGCTTTCACTTCAATAAAGTGACTTACTGTTCTGTAACAATAAAAAACAGTTCTACCGACAACACAACTGGGTAGTTGCAGTACTTTATACAGGCACAAATTGTTAAGCAGTGGTGTTTAAGGTTAACTTTTATTTATTTATTTATTCAAACTGGCAACTGTTTCGGCACTAACTTTTGAAGAGGCTATGCAGTGAATAACAAACATGCTCATAACTTTTGAGTGCCTGTAAATGTTCCTGTGTCCTTCTACTCTCTTTTAGTTAAGGTCCAATGCACTGACAACTTTTGAGAATATAAACTCGTATAAAACCAGTTCTAGAGAACACGAACACACACACACACACACACACACACACACACACACACACACACACACACACACACACACACACACACACACACACACACACACACACACACACACACACACCACACACACA